GGACAACCTGCCAGACACCACTATATTCTGAAATTTGAACTTGGTGTCTGACCAAGGAAAACTCACTTCCCTGGCTTTCTTATCTAAGTAAAGTGCTTGCCATCCTCCCAGTTATCCAGCTTGAAGGGCCCACACTTTCTCGGTCGTTCTGCTCTTGCCAAATACCCAGAAAAGCATATTTCCAGTGATGCTGTAGAGCTGGGCCATGCCAGGGCTACCATCTGGGCAATGTGAGAGTCGCAGTTAATAGAAGTTTGATGTTTTGAAGCTTCTGGTTGATGTGATGTGGCTCTAAAGTTCTTTAATTAAAAAAAAAATCTTTTTAACAAAGTTTTTCCTATTCACAACTTCACTTCCTCTATCTGCCTTCTCTTTCCCACTTGTCTCTTGGGGTAATTTCTATTTGTTTTTTGAGAGAAATTGGAAAGCAAACTTGACTTCTAGGGTTTTATGCTCAGGTATTATCAAAATCAGCTAACATTCCTTGCATATTTGCATTGAGCTGAGCACAGTACTTGTATTGCATTGTTCACCTTGCACAACAGCCCCGTGCAGTGGGGGTTCTCCATATCCCCATGTTACAAATGAGGAAATGAAAAAATAGTTAAAAGAAACTGGTGGATCTAGAATTCAAACAGAAGTCATTTTGCTTCTACTTTAAGTCCCCACACAGGTTTGTCTCAATCGGTCTTTGAGACTGTTCTACCCCATGCCCCGTGTTCATGATGGTAGAAAAAAAAATTGGACATTCTCAAAGATCCAACACTACAGACTTGGCTGGGTTCGTCAAAAACAAAGCAACCTTTAAACTGAGATTATAAGGAAATATAACCCCAAACCAACATAAAACTATTGAGTGATTTGATTTTGCTCAAAATATCTATGAACATGAATCCAAAGAGAGCTAGAAAAGAATTTGCAACAAGATCTTAATGAATGGAGAACATACTGCCTTTACAAGTAGAACAACAAAAATTAAAGCGGACATGAGATGTCCCTTCAAGCACAGTCCCCTCGCACCTTTCCTTACTCAAGTGCTGAATTAACGATCCCCTCTGGCATCCAAAATACTCATTAACTCATTTACTATATTCATTCAGCAAGTACCTACTGATTGCTTCTCTGTACCCAGCATGGTTTTAGGTCCAGGGAACACAGCCACAGATAAACAATAAAAGAAACAAGTTTCCTCTTCTTCCTAGAATTTATGTTGGGGAAGGCAGGCAAAGAAAAGGCAGAGAACATGGAAGATATGCTTCAAATAATGAATAAAGAAACCTAGGACAATCATCAAAACAGGGTGATATAATAGAAAAATCTATGGGTGGCTAATTTAGTAGAAGGTAGTCAAGGAAGTTCTTTGTGAAGAGGTGACATTTCATCTAAATGACAAAGAGTAAGAGAAAGAATCTTCCAGTCAGAAGTAACAACTAATGAAAAACAAGCAAACAAAACAAAACAGTGCCAGCGATAAGGTGCAAGCATTAAGGAAGATCCATGAGGCTATAGCACAGAGCAGAGGAGAGGAAGGAGCCTCCTTGCTCGCAGGGGCTTGAGAACTTGCCAGAGTTCTACATATTTTCCACCCAATTCTTTATATCCCCATTATAGCATCTTGAGACCAAAAGTTATAGTCTTCTTTGTATCTGCCCAAGTACCTGACACACAGTAGGACCTCACTGCATACCACTGAATGAACGAATGAATGAATGGTCTCCACATTGACAAACAGCAGAAAGTTCTTTGAAATAAATGTTAGACTTTTAAACTATCATTTTCATTATCACTATCATCTGAAGAGCTCTCCAAAACACATAAACACATACACACACTTGCATTCCTGAAATCATAATTAAAGGCAGTTGAAAAAATGTGGTATGATGTACAATTATTTCTAAAGTTCAGAACATTCTGGGAACACAATAAAGCAAGAAACACTTATAGAGTTTAGAGCTGCAGACAGAACCAGGGCTTGAGAATAATTCAAGCCTGAGTTTGAAAGGCAGGCCTATTCTTTTCTAGCTATGGGATATTGGTGATTTGCACAGCTGAGTCTCCATTTTCACATCTGTAAGAAGTTCATCCTAGACTTAGATGGTCCCTGGGACTCAGGACTTTTCACTTGTAAAATCTGGATAGTCCTGGACAAACTGGGAGGAGTCCATCACCCTAAATACAAGCTCCGTTGCAGCATTATAATACATTATAGTACCTGACTGTGGGGAACACATAGTAGGTTTGCAAATGAAAGCTTTAAATACAATAAGTATTTAGAAGAGCAAAGCACTTAATGTTCAGAGGTGGACATTATTTGAGCTCATTTTCACAGAGTAATATGAAGAAACTCAAAGAAGTAAGTGACCTATTAAGGACATAGTAAAATGAAGGAGCGAGGATTCAAACTCAGGGTCTGCCTGAGCTCAGAGCCAAAGCTTTTTCCTTTTCACAGTGCCACCGTTGCTGAGGCCAAGTATATTTTCAGCAACCAAAACAATTCCAGCAGTTTCATTTTTGTGCTATTTTCCCAAACTATAAATGTTCTTTTTTAGAAACAGCATTGCAAAGCAGTGAGACTATTGAGATCATTTCTGTGAATGTGAAATTTTGAAAGCACTTAATTGCCGGTGTAGTGATAAGGTGCATTTCATTGAAAATTATTTGGGGATTTTTATGTTCTTTGTCCACTCAAGGATTCCATTCAACAGTGAGGCAAAGATATCTTTAACTACGCAAGGAGATGATTTGTCACATACATATCTGCACCTGAGATTATCAACAAAGCTTTTGATGGAGATTTCTGGGCAATATTAGATTTCTCTCCCAATGTCCTCTTTGTTGTCATGCTTCCAAATGGGGCTTACTCCAAAATGTTCAATATCATAAATCAAAGCATCAAAACAGTATGTCCTTTTGGCTGTGTGCTATAAGGCTTAGTTCGACAATCCATTATTGTTGGAAATGTGTTCATCTTAACCACGCCGCATGGTTCTTGCAGGCATTCCTATGCTGTCTGCACCACAGAGGGTTCATAAAATTCAATTACCACTTCGATAACATGGCTGGCACTTGCTGAACTCTGAATAATGAAGAGTGCTTCTGCAGCCTTCCAGCCAAGGATTGTGAATTACCTTTATATTAAACCAGCTGTTCTGAAGATAATCAGGAGGTGCAAAGAGTAAGGATGGCAGTGTTGTACCAGTCTTCCTAAGGGATGTGTATCTTTTCACTCAGGTCAGAAAAATGTAGGTCTGAATTCCAGCCAAGGAGCTCTGCAAGAGAATATACAGTTCCATTCAAATGGCAGGGTTTCACAGAAGGAACGGCCCTACTGGAAAGAGCTTGGAAACAAATATTTCATAATCCAAGAAGAAGATGTTGCTTGGACTTATATTTTATTAGCAAAATCTGAGAACCAGGCACTGCTTGTAACATCGATTCAGAAGTTTGGAAGAGGTTATAAAGTTCCTAGCTTGGGTTAAATATGGGTCAATATGCTCCAGGCTGACCCAGATTTGTCCTGCTGAAGCAAGGCCGCCCACAAGAGCCTGGAAGGACCTTTGTGCAGGGAATGCCAGTGAGTGGGTGTTCTAGCTCCTCTGAAAGTTCAAAAGAGAGAATCTCCCCCCATGATTTGTAGTGCATCACAGGCCCCAAGAAAGAGAACTAATAAGGATCCCGCTGAGTGTGCCAGGCCATCTCCCCAAATTCTGTATCTTTGTTCGAGAGTCCACTCTTTCAGTTCACCCTCTCTAAGAAGAACCTTAACTGACATCCTTTTGTGCCCACCAGAACTACCCATCTACTCCTCGTAAGAATTACTGTTGTGGCAGCTACAACACCATTTCCATTATTTGCTTTTGTGCCTGTCTCCCACTAAACCCTAAGCTCCGTGAAAGCAGGGACCTTGAGTGGCTTCCTCAACCCTACTTTACATTATGCTTCATGGACTTTTCCAGCTCAATCTTCCAAACACTTGAACATTTATTATTTAAAGATCTAAGCAGCAGAAACCCAGGATTGCAGGCCAAAGTTTCTAGTGTCATATTTTCTCCTAAACATTCAGGTAAATGTTGACTCCTCCTTAACATAACTATGTTTGTTTAAATATAAAACTAATACTTAAAATTCATTACAGGCTATTATTCAACTTTACCCCCCAAATCTTCAGGTAAAATTGATGTTCCAGAAAGATGCGCTGTGATTATACCAAAGCCTCTTGCATCTTCGTGCATACTTCCCATAGTCACATG